CCCGTCATAAATTAAAAAACACTTTTTTGTATATTTAACACCATTATAAATGCTGGAGGCAAAGCAGGGTTTGGGGTGGCGGCTGACAGCTCGTGACCCCCCATGTAATAACCTCACGACTCCCTGAGGGGTCCCGACCCCCAGTTTGAGAACCCCTGCATTAAAGGCACATTGTTAACTTAAAAATCACACTCCTAAAATATGTTATACACACAGTATTGCAAGTTACAGCTAATATTATTACACGTGGGATGACCTGGGTAACTATAGGCCAGTGTAAAGGAAAATTAAGTAGGCCTAAACACAATTGCAACGGCCAATCTTGCTTAATGTAATGTGTTAGGAAAGCCATTAACCGCAAAAGAACAACCTGTGAATAACAGGAAAACCTTGTTTTGCTGTATTCCTAACAAGGGAAAATATTAATAAGGAAGTATGTGTAACTAAATGTGGTTTTGCTCTATATAAGCTTCTGTGTTCCCTTTTTTAGGAGAGCAGCCAGACTGGAATTAAATATAAAATCACTGCTGATAAAATTTGCAGATGACACACAAATTAGTGAAGTGCTAAATGATGACAACAGGACAATTCTACAGAGCCATCTGGATCACTTGATAACCTGGGCCCATTCAAACAAAATATCCTTTAATACAGTCAAATGCAAAGTTATATATCTAGGAACAAGGGATGCAGGTGATGCTACAGAATGGGGGACCTTGTCCTGGAAAGCAGTAACTCTGAAAAGGATTATTATGGGATAGTAGTGGACAAGCCACTGAACATGAACGAGAAGCTGTGGCAAAAACAGCTAATGCAATCCTCGGATGTATAGATAGGGGAGTACCAGCATTGCCAACCCCAAATGGTCCAATATCGTAAGTCAGGCTCAGCAAAAATCATGCGATTGGCTTTAAAATAATGAGATTATGTAACAATAATAGATTTTATGTTCTTTTTATTTGCCTTCTGTTTTTTGAGCCTTTAGGATGCAGTGCGCTGGGGTCACATTTTGAAGCTCTCTCCATAGCCACGAGGGCTAGAAACTTCCTTTTTCATTAAGAATGGAGGCTGAAATCATCATATATCCACTTGAACCCAGGAGCTGGGGCTTTAAGGAAAACAATTACTATCATGAGACCCATGACAAAATCATGGGAGTTGGCAACACTGGCCAGTACTGAGATCTAGGGAGGTAACTTTACCTCAGTATAGACAAGGAAGTAGTGAGAAGTAGGAAAGTGATTTTACTTGTGTATACAGCAGGGACGGGCAAACTTTTTGGCCTGAGGGCCACATCGCGTTTCGGAAATTGTATGAAGGGCCGGTTAGGGGAAGGGGTCATGGCCTGGACCCCACCTCCTATCTGCCCCCCCCCCCAGGTCTCCTGCCCCATCCAACCTCCCGTTCCCTGACGGCCTCCCCAGGACCCTGCCCCATCCACACATCCCTCTCCCTATCCCCTGACCACCCCAACCCGCCCCCGCCGCCATCCAACCCCTCCTCTC